TGGTTCTAAACACAACCATTCCCTTTACTAAAGAACCCTGACTGTCTTTTTATGTGTGCAGCCTGTTTACTCACTATCCAAACCACCAGAGAACCTACACGTGCTTTCTGAGTGTTTATATGGAATGATGATGATGGTAAAATAGTGCAAATCTGAAATAATAAGTTTTTTTTGGGGACTATTTTGCCTTAAAACGCCCTTCATGTATCCCTCCACCGTGAGTGTATTTAAAATATAGGTTTTAGACCAACATCTTCTCTCGAAACTATCGCAAAACAATGTCTCAAGCATCAGTCATGACCATCTATAAGCGCTTCATGTAGGAACTTTCTGTGAGGGAGCCTTTAGAGGTGGACGTCTGGTTCCTATAACCACCACTGTGAACAGTTCTAGAGTTGTAATGGAGCATTTCACAATAACAAGTGGTTTGGTGTGAAATGGTTGATTGTAGAGACTCAGATTTATATACAGTGGTGGTGATAGGAACCAGATGGTTTTACAACACATTCTCCATCAACCATTTCACCATGCAAAGAACCATTTAAGCATGAAATAGTTCTATCTGGAGCTCATAGTTCTAAACAGAACCATTGCCTGGTGTGTAGCCATTTTATTTACTATCCAAAACCACCAGTGAACCTGCATGTGTCTTCTTTTAGTTTTGTGTGGAATGTTGATGATGGTAAAATAGTAAAAAAACATGAAATAATAAGTTTTATTTGGGGACTATTTTGCCTTAGAACACCCTGCATGTGCCCCTCCACCTTAAGTGTAATGATGGAGCACTTGACAATAAACCCCTCTGAATGGCTTTGTTTACATTGTAATGATTCACTTATGCAGAAAGTTTGTAAAAACTGGTGGAATTCCTGTTTAAATCTCTTACATTGGGTTGGGGGTTGGCAGGATGGGCAAATATTATTCTGTTCTGTTGGTCCAGCACCTGGACTGCTTTGATCTTAGGCTAACAGATGCTAGATGTTTCACCACAGGTGTACAGTGTGCTCAGGAGATTTTTGACCCTGCACTTAATTTTATACCTACACAAGATTGTTTTTGAATTTTAATTATACTTCAGTCATTTATTTACAGCAGTTTTACTCTGCTGATGTTCTACAGGCACTAACCAGCTTCGCCAAGCCCAGAGCCCTGTTCTTAAAGTGGAAGTCCACAGAATTTCCAAAATGTCTGCATTTTTAAACCATTAAGACGTAAATAGAGTCATTCAGAGTAGTTTGGTGTGAAACGCTCTGTTCTAGAAAAACGTACCCAGTCAGAGCTGTTCACAGTGGTGGTGATAGGAACCAGATGTCCACCTCTGAAAGCTCCCAGAAAGCTAATACATGATATGGTTACAAGTACCTGAAACATTGCGTTACAGTAGTTTGGAAAGAAGATTCTGGTCTTGAAATGTATAAAATCCATTTATGGTGTAAGGATACATGAAGAGCGTTGTGAGGCAAAGTAGTCCCCAAAGAACTTATTTTCTCAGGCTTTACTCTATTTTACCATCATCGTCATTCCATATAAAACCTGTGTAGGTTCTCTGGTGGTTTGGATAGTGAGAAAACAGGCTACAGACATAAAAAAAGATGGTTCTTCAAGGGTTCTTTAGTAAAGGGAATGCTTGTGTTTAGAACCATGAGTACTATATAGAACGCTTTCATGCTTAAATGGTTCTTTGCATGGTAAAATGGTTGATGGAGAAAGTGTTGTAGCCTAAAAGGTCCTATAGAGTACCTATTTAGAACCTATATAGAACCCTTCTGAAGATGGTTCTGTACAGCACCAAAAAAGGGTTCTGCTATTGTTATCACATCAAGCTTGACATCACAACAACAAGCAGAACCCTTGTTGGTGCTATATGGAACCATTTACTCACGAATATATATCTACAGAGAACTCATGGTTCTTAGTAGAACCATTGCCTTTAGTAAAAACCCTTCTGGTTCTGAGTCTCTCAGACTTTTCTCTATTTTATCATCATCAACATTTCATATAAACACCCAGAAGACTCGTGTAGGTTCACTGGTGGTTCTGGATAGTAAATAAAATGCCTATATTTGTGTTGTAGTCATGGCGACCCCTGGTTCCTATCACCACCACTGTAAAGACATCTGAACCATTTCACACCAAACCCACTCTGAATGGCTCTGAATTAGCACACATTGCTGACAGCTTCCAGGTGAAGAAGCTGAATCCGAGAGAAACAGGCCGGAGTATCTGGGAAATTCCGTCACGCATCACCTGCAGCGGCCTGAAATCTAGGCCTAGCTGGCATTGCCCTAGTGGCATTTCCTAAGCTGGCATTACCTTACCTTACCTGGCATAACCTGGCTGCCTTACGTTTGAGGGAGCAGGCTCGCTCTGCGGCGTGTTCGGCGCTGCACAGGCTGGTGGTCCTACAGCGGGGCTGAGCGGAGGGGTCTGTTTGAAGTGTGTGGAGCTGCTGTGATCACAGGGAACATGCAGGGGGAGGTGCCGCCGACAGGTTGGCCTGTAGGCTAATCGGCCCATGTTTATCACAGCTGAGTGATTACGGGTGTTATAAGTTAGAGTGTGGCTCCCTCTACAGGCCAACAACCAGACTTCATTATAGCTGCAGCCCATCACTGGCAAGAAAGGGTTCTCACAAGGGAATATTCCACTGATTTTCCAAACTTCTGCATGATTCAAACATTAAGACGTAAACAACGTCATTCAAACAAAAGGGTTGATTGTAGAGGCTCAGATGTCTTTACAGTGGTGCTGATAGGAACCAGGGGTCGCCATGACTACAACACACATATAGACATTTTATTTACTATCTAGAACCACCAGTGAACCTACACGAGTCTTCTGAGTATTTCTGTGTAATGGTAATGATGGGAAGATAATGGAAAATCTTACTAATAGAGTTTAACTGGGGACTACTTTGCCTTTTAGCACCCTGCATGCACATCTCCACCATGAAATA